AGCTGGTCGACGATACCGAGACCTGTGCTTTCTCCGTCCACGAAGATGAACGGACGCTTGGCGCTGTACACTCTCTCCAAAATGCGCGCCAGCACCTGAGGCTCTTGGGTAGAGCTTGGTGGTTGGGGGATGCAGATCTTTGTTTCCAAATTTGTAGCCGACACCAGCACGTCGGGCATATCATCGGGGAATTCGAGGTACACCGGACGGTTGTGGATCAGCGCCTGGCGCAGGACATAGTCGATCCTTTCCGGTGCTGTGGTAGCATCTTCTAGCCTCACTTGAGCTGCAGTGACGTGCTTGGACATGTTCGCAAAGCGACGATAGTCGCCATCTGAGAAAGTGTGGTGCATAAATGTGCGTGCACTCTGAAGCGGGCGCGGTGGAGTCCCGACGATATGTAACACAGGTGTGTTCTCGGCATAGGCGCCTGCAATACCATTTATAGCGGACAGTTCACCAACGCCATAGGTAGTGATCAGGGCAGACAAGCCTTTAATGCGACCATATCCGTCTGCCGCGTAGGCGGCATTGAGTTCATTGCAGTTGCCCACCCAGTGGAGGCCGGCGGGGGTAACGAAATCCAATAGGCGGAGGTTGTAGTCACCAGGGACGCCGAACATGGAGTCGACGCCCAGCTGGCGTAACCGGATAAACAAGTAGTCTGCGAGCTTTATATCTTGAGTCATGATGAATATGATATTGAAGTTGGAGAAGAAGAAGGCCGAGTATTTATAGATGGATCCCCGCATCTTATCGCCGACACGCCGGTTCTCCGACTCTCCGATCTCGCCGAGGTTAGCCGACTTCACTCTTTTTATCTCCACTACCGGGCGAAACTCCGCCAGACCAGCCATGTCGCGTCTGGCTGCTTGTGAAGCCTGTAGAAAGGCTAAACTGGCATGCGACCATCAGCTGCCCGTTTGCACGCGTTGTAGTGCTAGCAAGGGGATTTGCATCTACAGGACTACGCCCTTTAAGCGGAAAAGAGTCGAGAAGCAAAGGTCGGTTTCATACCTAAATTGCCTCCAAATTGGCTAATAATATCTTCGCAGCCTTGGTTCGCCAGATGAACCGTCGTCATTTAATCCAAGACGTAATCCATACCCGAACCCTGGGTATCTAGGGTCATCTAGCCATGCAGCTATATTCAAGCACATCACTCCGGACGGAGACCATGGCCACGGTGGTCATCAAACAGTACCAGAGGATCTGCACTCGGACTTATTTGGGGACAACCATCTCGTCCTACAAGGCGCAGATATTCTCAGACATCTCTTGACAACCTACAAGTTGTCCGCCATGAAAGACCTCGTCATGTTCTGGCTAGTTAAAGGAGCCAACCTGGCTCTGGCAGAGCCCTTTGTTGAGCATTGTGCCCAGAGTGTGAGCCAACTGTTCACCTATCACGACGACAACTGGCATTTAGTTTATGCACGACGTCTCTTGCAGAACTCGGCTCAACCGCTGCACTTCAATGATACATCTGACCTGGCCGCTTTCTCGGCTCAATTTCTAGATCACAATTCTCGTTGGGAGACGTTAGGGATATTCTTTGCTGCTGTCAGTCGAGCGACAATTGACATCGCGTTCTTTCCGTCTCTATACACCACCGAGCAAGAGCAGTACACACTCCGAAGACTATGCACCAAACTTTGTGACTTCGCATTGGAGATATCCCTCTCCCTAGATTGCCTGAATGATCTGCAACTGGTTATGCAATACGAGAACTTTATCGTACATTCCTACGTGGATGGAGATCAGAGTTAGTTGCCAGCCATCCATCGCAATTACTACCTCTACTTGACCATATATTAACCCTTCGAAGGCTACCATTCCTGGCGCAAACTAGGCGATGCAATATCCTCCACGTTTGCCCTGGGCTACCACGAGAACATCGAAATAAAGACAGGCATCCCGCCGTTCCTCAAAGAACTGCGCAAAACAGCCTTCGCGCGCATCTACTCTGCAGACAAAAATATAGCAATATTTCTCGGCCGCCCACCACGAATGAACAAACGCTTCTGCCACTTCCAGATCCCGTCCTGCTGGGACGCAGAAGAGGGATCAGCAGAATGGACCCTAGACGCGGAGGCCGGCTACCGGGCTGATACGCGGTGGTCTGCGCTGTGCGCATCGCTGAAGGAGGAGATCTGGGAGCTTCTTCAGGACAAGCATGATCCATCATGTG